GTCATGTCGAAAACGAACTTTACAACTTTGGTGCGGGGGGGAGTGGGGGGGGATGACCTTGGCGGGAAGGCTTGAGCCGCTGTGAGGTGAACAGCAGCGCCTTGCTCTCGCTGCAGGGCTGGGCTCCCCACGCCGGCAGCCATCCACGCCCTGGACAGGCCTCCCGCACCAGCACTCCGTCCCCTGCCAAACCAGCGCAAACCGTCTCGATTTCCAAGCGACCCATCGCCAGCTGTCACTGCACCTGATTCCTCAGCAGACCTACACACACACACACACACACACACACACATGTGTGGCTCTCCAGAAATGTGGGAAGGAGAGAGCCAGTGGTTCTTAGGAACAATGCTGGGAGGGGAGCAGAAGAGGCAGCCCAGGACTGGGGACAGGGCAGGAGATGGAGTTTAGGCTGATTCCTACACTGATGGGGGCTAGTATGGCTTTTAAGTAGGGGAGCAGAAAGATATATTTACAAATCACTCTTGTTGGGAGTGGATAGCTCACATCTGTGATCCTGGCAACTCAGGAGGCTGAGATCTGAGAATTGTGGTTCAAAGTCAGCCCAGGGAGGCAAATCCGAGACACTTCTGGCCTTGAGTGAAAATGCCAAGTGTGATCACGAGGCCCTGAGCTCCAGTCCCAGCACACACACACACACATGCGCACACACACACACACACAGACACACTGTGGACAGAATAGATGGTACACGGTTCATGGTGGAGAACAGAAGCAGGGAATTTGCCAGAATGCAGGGGAGGTGGAAATGAAAGCAATGGGAAGACTGGCACGTGACAAGATGTGGACAGGAAGGACAATGGAGATTCTGGACACTCTCTTTCTCTGCAAGCTTTTACCTCTCACTTCAAGAAATAAGAAGCTGCAGCTAAGACAAATAGTGGTGTTTTAATTATTTTAAAATTCAGAATAGCCCCCTCATGAATCATCCTACAATACCTACTGTCTGTGTGCTGCTCTGCTGGGGATAAAAATGCAGTCACTCCCGGACGGTTCGAAGATGGGTAAGGTACAGTACGGCTTTGCCACGGCGTTCAGAGCATGAAGCTGTGGCTGCACCCCTCAAAGTACGGCTGCATTTAGACTCCACAGAGGAGCTAACACCCAGCTCACTTGGACCCTCCAAACGCATGCTTCTCTGTGCATGCAGCAGGAAGGGACCTCACCCACTAGTTACTGAGACTTGGTCCCTTCTTGAGTTCCATGGTAACTTGGGGCGCAGGGAAGCCACAAGCTGTCAAGAGGTGGAAAGTCCTTGAAAATACATCATTCTCCACAGACTGAAGTCATTCTTGCCAAAACCACAGGAGGCTGTCTTCCATCTCTGTGTCATCATTCTATAACATCCTAAGGGGAAACTTTTCATAACCTTCTTCTTCTGACGCCTTTATTCCATTATTTCTTTGAAGCTTGGCTTTCCCATTTAGAAAGCATTTTAGGTGGAGAAGATAAAACTGTCAGCCTAGTGCATTTCACACCAGCTATCTGTGTCCACTTTTAATTTGGTATCTGAGTTACAATATTGTATTTCTTTTGTGTCATTAGATTTCAAGTTCCTCATGGCAGGAACCTGATTAATTACAATATAGCTATGGCGTCCGTATCTAGAAGGCTTAATATATATTAAATAATAATTTCAGTATCAGAACAAATTAAGGGAAAACTCATACTATTAACATTGCACCTCAGGTAAAAGTCTTGTAAACAAATACAGCATTCGCCTTCCTCTTCATTCACATCTTTAAGACATTATTCTTTTCTAAAACAAGGGTGTCCGTGTTTGGGAAACCAGCTCTTGGAAGCCAATGCTTCTGACCAAGAAGCAGAGCTCGTTCCCGTCTAAATAATCAAAAAACAAAACAAGATTTCAAGGCGCTGGACACAAGGAAATGGAGGACAGCCCCTCAAGGAAGGGAGCCCGGCAGATGCTCCAGCGGCCGGTGCCAGGGTCCGTGGAGAGGAATGGAGGCTGAGAACTACTCAAGACCTGGAATCATCTGAAGTAGTTAGAAGAAGCAGTGCCAGGCGCTTACACAGGACTGGGAAGCGCACCTGCTCGCGAGTGTCAAACCCCAGAGCTGGACAATTCTTAGTGCATTAACAAGCACCGTGCCTCCGTGGTGGGAAATCATGAATCTGGACTGAAGATTAGTATAAAGCACCATAAAATTAAACTTGAAAAGACCAAACTGCTCATAAGCCAATTAACTGTGTCTCAGAACAAACCTAGACATCTATAGATGCAGGAAAATACCCAGTCCCCATCAAGATTCAAGATTACCAAAGCAAACTACAATAGCCGACACGGCGTCAGTTATTAAACAAAGACATTGACACATTTATTGCATATGCTCCAACATTTAAATAGATGTGGGATATACAAAATGAGCTCTAAATCAAACTTCCACCAATAAAAACTATAATACCCACATTGAAATATACCGAATGAAGTGAAAGCAGGTTCAACATCCCAGAAAAAAAAAAAATTAGTGATCGTGAAGATATAGCAACAGACTTTAACAGAGGAAAATCACTTTTTTTTTTTTTTGGAGAGGGGGGTCCGGTCGTGGGGCCTGAACTCTGGGCCTGGGCGCTGTCCCTCAGCTCTTCAGCTCAAGGCTAGCACGCCACCACTTGAGCCACAGCGCCACTTCCAGCTTTTTTTTTCTGCTTATGTGGTGCTGAGGAATCGAACCCAGGGCCTCAGGCATGCAAGGCAAGCGCTCTACCACTGAGCCACCTTCCCAGCCCCAGGAAAATCATTTTTAAAGATGAAAAGGAATCAATGAACTCAGGACATGTACTTGTTCTATTGTTTGTGTAATTTGAGTCCCAAATAATAACATGGTGAAGGGAAAAATAGACAATGTATTTGCAGAAATAATGTCTGAAGGCTTTTCAACCTGATTAGAAGTATAAACTTAGATCCAGAGCCTCACAAGAACTGTGAGGAAAGCTCAAGGCGCACAGCACCAGGGAACTGCTGCATGCTGGGAGTAAGGAGTCATGCTGGGAGTAAGGAGGAAATCTTACACGCAGCCAAAAAAGATACCAAACAAGCTCGGTATGTAAGTCGAGATTGCAAAGAAACCACAATCCACAATGAAGAGCATAAACTGACAAGAATGACTGGAAAGAGATATTGAAATCGTTTTGACAGTGCTAGATCCTACGCTCAGAAATGACCGGAACACTGGTGACAATAACACCGCAGTGGAAGCATGCCATGCAAAGTGAGACACAACTTTCAAAGACCAGTGAGAAAGGACTCAGGCCCAGGGTCCAGAAACCTCCCAGGGCCGGGCAGTGAGAAAGGACTCAGGCCCAGGGTCCAGAAACCGCCCAGGGCCGGGCAGTGAGAAAGGACTCAGGCCCAGGATACAGAAACCTCCCAGGGCTGGGCAGTGAGAAAGGACTCAGGCCCAGGATACAGAAACCTCCCAGGGCCGGGCAGTGAGAAAGGACTCAGGCCCAGGGTCCAGAAACCTCCCAGGGCCGGGCAGTGAGAAAGGACTCAGGCCCAGGGTCCAGAAACCTCCCAGGGCCGGGCAGTGAGAAAGGACTCAGGCCAGGATACAGGGCCTGGGTGAGCTCAACCATCACCAGACTCCCGCCCTCACCAGTAGAACATCTAAAATCTAAAAAGACCACCTTTACCAAGATTTGGCCAATGTCAGAGGGAACTTTCTAGAACTGTTGCCACATGACTCATGGCAACCCACAATCACAATGTCACTCCAGAAGTAGTTTGGACTTCGTTAATAACAGAAGCCCTCTGCAGCCCTGCACGCCGGTGTGCTCCACTAATTCCCCAAGAAAAAGAAGATGCCGTCTCCCAAAACACAAGCAGAAATGTCCATGGCCATGTTGTCTGTGACAGCGCCGGCCTGGTGTGTGCATCACGGCCATGTTGTCTGCGACAGCGCCGCCCTGATGGTGTGTGCATCACGGCCATGTTGTCTGTGACAGCGCTGGCCTGATAGTGTGTGCATCACGGCCATGTTGTCTGTGACAGCGCCGGCCTGGTGGTGCGTGCATCACGGCCATGTTGTCTGTGACAGCGCCGGCCTGGTGGTGCGTGCATCACGGCCATGTTGTCTGATGCGCGTGCATTCACTCACCTTCCACCGACTTGGAGGGACAAGGCGTGGAGCAAGGCTGGGGGAGGCGGGCAGTGGGGAGCATGGAGCCCGGCGGGGAGCGCGGCGGGGCGCGGTGGAGGGCAGAGGGGAGCCCGGCGGGGAGGGGAGCGTGGCGGGGAGCCCAGCCCTGCGGGGCGCGGTGGAGGACAGAGGGGACAGGCGGGGAGCGGGTGGAGGGGGCGCGGAGCACCGCAGGCGCGCAGAGGCGGCCGCACGCGACCCGGCTCAACTTCAGGGCTCGGGGACTGCCGTGGAAACGTCTGGAAGGCTTGGGCTGTGGTCAGGTCGGTTTGGTGGTTTATCCTCCGATCAAAGGTGCGGCTATTTACGCATGTACCCATCCTTGCTGGACCGCGCCCGGCTCACCGATCGGAGCGCGCTCACAACGCGCCCGAGCGCGCGTCTTCTTCCGCATGCGTGCGCCTTCTTCCACTTTCGTCTTTTAAGGCACGCACGCGTGGAGCATCTTCTTCCACACGCGTGCGCGTCCGGAGCGCGTCTTCTTCCGCGCGCACGCGCTTCCGGAGCGCGTCTTCTTCTGCGCGCACACACGCGCGACCCTAGCGCTTCTTCTTCCGCGCGCACGCGCTTCCGGAGCGCTTCTTCTTCCGCGTGCACGCACGCGCAACCGGAGCAGCGTGTCTTCTTCTGCGCGCATGCGTGGAGCGCGTCTTCTTCCGCGCGCACGCGCGTGGCAGGGCGCGCGCCTCCCTCGCACCTTCCGGCCGAGGTGGCGGCGGTGGCGACGCCAGGGCCCCGCGGCTGTCCCCGGGCGCGCGCCCAACGATCTCCGGTTGTGAGCCGCGCCCAGCGCTGCCTCCTGGGCGCCCCCTCGCCGGGATGCCGCCCCCGTCGGCCAACCCGCTGGGCTACACGCCCCCGGACGGAGGCTGGGGCTGGGCCGTGGTCTTCGGCTCCTTCATCTCCATCGGCTTCTCGTACGCGTTCCCCAAGTCCATCACCGTCTTCTTCAAGGAGATCGAGACCATCTTCAACGCCAGCACCAGCGAGGTGGCGTGGATCTCGTCCATCATGCTGGCCGTCATGTACGCGGGCGGCCCCATCAGCAGCCTGCTGGTGAACCGCTACGGCAGCCGGCCGGTGGTGCTGGTGGGCGGCTGCCTGGCCAGCGTGGGCCTGGTCACCGCCTCCTTCTGCACCTCGGTGCAGGAGCTGTACGTGTGCATCGGCGTGGTGGGCGGTCTGGGGCTGGCCTTCAACCTCAACCCCGCGCTCACCATCATCGGCAAGTACTTCTACCGGAAGCGGCCGCTGGCCAACGGGCTGGCCATGGCGGGCAGCCCGGTCTTCCTGTCCACGCTGGCGCCGCTCAACCAGGCCTTCTTCCGCATCTACGGCTGGCGGGGCAGCTTCCTCATCCTGGGAGGGCTGCTGCTCAACTGCTGCGTGGCCGGCTCGCTCATGCGCCCCATCGGCCCGGCGCCGCCTGCGGCCGCCCCCGCCGGGAAGTCTCCGTCGAACGCAGCTGTGGCGGCGGCAGCGAGGAAGTCCGAGGCACGGAGGCCGGAGGCGGGCGGGGAGGCGTCGCGCCGAGGGACGCGCACGAGCAGCGTGCGGGCCGCGGCCCCGGCCGCCCCCTCGGTGGCCCCCGCCGCGCCCGCGCCCGCGCCCGCCCCCGCCCCCGCCTCGGACTCGCTGCTGGCGCACCGCGGCTTCCTCATCTACCTCTCGGGAAACCTGGTCATGTTCTTCGGGCTCTTCGCGCCCCTGGTCTTCCTCGCCAACTACGGCAAGACCAAGGACTTCTCGAGCGAGGAGGCGGCCTTCCTGCTGTCCATCCTGGCCTTCGTGGACATGGGCGCGCGGCCCACCATGGGCTTCGTGGCCAACACGGGCCTGATCCGGCCGCGCATCCAGTACTTCTTCGCCTGCGCCTTCGTGGCCAACGGCGTCTGCCACCTGCTGCTGCCGCTGGCCCGCGGCTACCTGGGCTTCTGCCTGTACGCCGGCTTCTTTGGCTTCGCCTTCGGGTGGCTGAGCTCGGTGCTGTTCGAGACGCTGATGGACCTGGTGGGCCCGCAGCGCTTCTCCACCACGGTGGGCGTGGTGACCATCTCCGAGTGCTGCCCGGTGCTGCTGGGCCCGCCGCTGCTCGGCCGCCTCAAGGACGTGTACGGGGACTACAAGTACACCTACTGGGCGTCGGGCGCCGTGCTCATCGCCTCGGGCATCTACCTCTTCGTGGGCATGGGCATCAACTACCGCCTGCTGGAGAAGGAGCGCGCGGCCGGGGAGCCGCGCAGGGACAGCGCGGAGGAGCGCGCCGGGGTCGGGGCCGAGCCCCCGGGCAGCGGGGCCGAGCGGCGCAGCGAGACCCAGCGCAGCGCGGCGGAGGAGCGCAGCGGGGCCGAGCGCAGCGGGGCCGAGCGCAGCGGGGCCGAGCGCAGCGGGGCCGAGCGCAGCGGGTCGGAGGAGGCGGCCCAGCCCGCGCCGCCGCCGCCCCCGCCGCCCCCGCCGCCCCCGCCCCCGCCGCCGCCCCCGCCGCCGCCGCCGCCGCCCGAGGAGGAAGAGCTCCCGCCGCCGGAGAGCCTCCGCGAGGAGGAGGCGGCGGCGCCGGAGGAGGTCGCGGAGGCGCCCGAGCCGGAGGCCGCGGTGGGGGCCGCGGAGGAGGCCGAGGCGGCGGCGGAGGCCGAGGCGGCGGCGGACGAGGAGGAGAAGGAGGAGGACCCCGCGTGACCCCCGGGCCCGGCCGGGACGCGCCCGCGGCCACCGCCGGCGGTGACGCTCGGGGAGAAGACCCGGGCCGCGGGGCCTCGGCCGGCGCGACCGCGCTCCGCGGCCTCCACGCTCCACGCAGGCCTCGGCGGCTCCACCCCGCCGATTCATCTATTTTGAGTGCCACATTAAACGGAACCCACTGGCTCCGGCCTCGGCGGCGTTTGTTCGCGCGCGGGGCACGGGGGATGCGGGGCACGGGCAGCGGGTGCGGGCAGCGGGGCGCAGGGCAGCGGGGCACTGGGGGAGCGGGCAGCGGGGCACTGGGGGAGCGGGCAGCGGGGCAGCGGGGCACTGGGGGAGCGGGCAGCGGGGCACTGGGGGAGCGGGCAGCGGGGCAGCGGGGAGTGGGGCAGCGGGGAGCGGGCAGCGGGGAGTGGGCAGTGGGGAGTGGGCAGTGGGGCACTGGGGGAGCGGGGAGTGGGCAGTGGGGAGTGGGCAGCGGGGCACTGGGGAGCGGGCAGCGGGGCACTGGGGGAGCGGGCAGCGGGGAGTGGGCAGTGGGGAGTGGGCAGTGGGGCACTGGGGGAGCGGGCAGCGGGGAGTGGGGAGTGGGCAGCGGGGCACTGGGGAGCGGGCAGCGGGGCACTGGGGGAGCGGGCAGCGGGGAGTGGGCAGTGGGGAGTGGGCAGCGGGGCACTGGGGAGCGGGCAGCGGGGCACTGGGGGAGCGGGCAGCGGGGCACTGGGGCAGCGGGGCACTGGGGGCGCGGGGCACTGGGGGAGCGGGCAGCGGGGCACTGGGGAGTGGGCAGCGGGGCACTGGGGGAGCGGGCAGCGGGGCACTGGGGGAGCGGGCAGCGGGGCACTGGGGGAGCGGGCAGCGGGGCACTGGGGAGTGGGCAGCGGGGCACTGGGGGAGCGGGCAGCGGGGCACTGGGGAGTGGGCAGCGGGGCACTGGGGGAGCGGGCAGCGGGGCACTGGGGGATCGGGCAGCGGGGCACTGGGGAGTGGGCAGCGGGGCACTGGGGGAGAGGGGCAGCGGGGCACTGGGGAGTGGGCAGCGGGGCACTGGGGGAGCGGGCAGCGGGGCACTGGGGGAGAGGGGCAGCGGGGCACTGGGGAGTGGGCAGCGGGGCACTGGGGGAGAGGGGCAGCGGGGCACTGGGGGAGCGGGCAGCGGGGCAGCGGGGCGGCACCCTCGGAGGGCCCGGCTCAGGACTCGGGGCTCGGGGCTCGGTCGTGGCCGCGGGGACGGCGCCGCTTGGGAAGTCACCTTCACCCTAAAGAGCAGCCGAGTGTGCGGAGCCCGCAGGACCCGGAGCTCCCAGCTCTCCACCCCGTGCCCGTCACCCAGCTCGCCCTCACCCTTCGCCCCCGAGGTCACCCAGCTCGCCCTCACCCTTGACCTCCGGGGTCACCCAGCTCGCCCTCACCCTTCGCCCCCGAGGTCACCCAGATCTCCTCCTGTCCCAATCACACCCTAGACCCGCGAGTCCCGCGCCGGGGTCTGAAGCCGGGGTTCGAACCCAGAGCCTCTGGCGCGCTGAGGCCGAGCGACCTTCGCCTGGACCCTGGGATCCCCAGCGCCCCCTCCCCCAGCCCCCAAGGGCTCCATGTTCGCCATCCGCGTCCCGAGCCCGCGCCGGGCGGGAATGAGCTCCGCGGGGAAGGGAGGCCGGGCCGAGGGGGGTCACTCACAGGGCCGAGCGGGGTCACTCACTGGCTCGGCCAGTGCCTCGAGCGGGGTCACACCCACCCTCGGGCGACTTTCCCAATGGAACACCGGGGCTTGAACTCCAGGCCTGGCGCAAGGCCAGCGCTCTCCCACCTTGAGCCTTGGCACCATTTCTGGCTTTTTGGTCGTTCATTGTTGGTAAGAATCTGACAGACTTTCCAGCCCAGGCTGGCTTTGAACCCCCATCCTCAGACCTCAGCCTCTGTAGCGGGGCATGGGCGGGAGCCTGTCCAGCTTTATTTTTGAAATAACCCGCGGGCTTTCGCGGTTCATCAGCACTTGTTCATGGCACCGCAGGAGCTCCATCGCGCTATTGTGCACGGCACCGCAGGAGCTCCATGCGCTATTGTGCACGGCACTGGAGGAGCTCCATGCGCTATTGTGCACGGCACCGCGGAGGAGCTCCATGCGCTATTGTGCACGGCACCGGAGGAGCTCCATGGCGCTATTGTGCACGATACTGGTGGAGCTCCATGCGCTATTGTGCACGGCACTGGAGGAGCTCTATCGCGATACTGTGCACGGTACCGTGGAGGAGCTCCATGCGCTATTGTGCACGGCACCGGAGGAGCTCCATCGCGCTATTGTGCACGGCACGGCGGAGGAGCTCCATCGCGCTATTGTGCATGGCACCGCGGAGGAGCTCCATGGCGATACTGTGCACGGCACCGCGGAGGAGCTCCATGCGCTATTGTGCACGGCTCCGCAGGAGCTCCATGCACTATTGTGCACAGTACTGGTGGAGCTCCATGCGCTATTGTGCACGGCACCGGAGGAGCTCCATGCGCTATTGTGCACGGCACCGGAGGAGCTCCATCGCGCTATTGTGCATGGCACCGGAGGAGCTCCATGCGCTATTGTGCACGGCACCTGAGGAGCTCCATGCGCTATTGTGCATGGCTCCGGAGGAGCTCCATCGCGCTATTGTGCACGGTACTGGTGGAGCTCCATGCGCTATTGTGCGCGGCACTGGAGGAGCTCTATCGCCATACTGTGCACGGCACTGGAGAAGCTCCATCGCGCTATTGTGCACGGCACCGCGGAGGAGCTCCACGCACTATTGTGCACGGCACCGGAGGAGCTCCATGCGCTATTGTGCACTGCACTGGAGGAGGTCCATCGCGCTATTGTGCACGGCACCGCGGAGGAGCTCCATGGCGCTATTGTGCACGGCACCGCGGAGGAGCTCCATCGCGCTATTGTTCATGGCACCGCGGAGGAGCTCCATCGCGCTATTGTGCACGGCACCGGAGGAGCTCCATGCGCTATTGTGCACGGCACCAGAGAATCTCCATGGCGCTATTGTGCACGGCACCGGAGGAGCTCCATGCGCTATTGTGCACGGCACCGGAGAATCTCCATGGCGCTATTGTGCACGGCACCGGAGGAGCTCCATGCGCTATTGTGCACGGCACCGCGGAGGAGCTCCATCGAGCTATAAGCTCCATCGCGCTATTCCCACACGCGCTTACAAACACGCTGAGCGCGAAGCCGTTGGTGAGGCGCGGAGCTGTGCTCCTCGGTGAGGACTTTGTCATTGCTCGTTTGTCTCTTTCTGATTGCGTGTTAAATTATCCTTGAGAGAGAAAGATTCCATGCTGAGACTCCCGGCAGACACAGTAATGAAGGCTGTTTACTCGGTACGTTTACTCTTACAAACTGACCCCGGGTACTAAACCCCAGCGCACCTGTTTATACAAGTTTATGCAATGGCCTGTTTATGCAGGTCATTGGCCCTCAGCCACTGGCTAAGTGATCATTGCGCCCTAACTCCAGGGCTGCTGTCTATGAAAACTTTTTCCATCGAGGTTATATCCACCATGGGTACCAGCACTCATTTTTCCTGTTCCATTCGTTATAAAGCAAATTAATTGTGAAATTCCCTTGTGACCTCCATCTCCTGGCCAGCTCAATGTAAGTACACATAAGACATTTCTACCTCGTAGTTTAAGTGTAAACAGTTTTATTTGACGTAGGTGTTCTCTAACATAGCTATCTTAGCGCTGCAGAATATTTAGAACACGTGGCATTGGAGGGAGACAACCCAGCAGAGGACTGCGATGAGGTCATTTAGTCTCATGTGTGTGCGGTAGAGCGCACCTGTCAAGTTTAAAGAGAGGACAAGAAAAAGAGAGCAATGTCAGCAACTGAGCATTAAATACGTAACATATAGAGCAACCTAGCACTGGAAATGAGCTGCTGCACTACACAAACCACCACCACCACCACCACCATGACCACCACCATCACCACCACCATTACTACCATCACCATCACCACCACCATCACCACCACCACCACCATCACCATCACCACCACCATACCACCACCACCACCACCACCACCACCACCACCACCACCACCACCATCACCATCACCACCATCACCATCACACCACCACCACCACCACCACCACCTCCACCACCCCCCCACCACCACCACCACCATCACCACCACCATCATCACCACCACCACCACCACCATACCACCACCATCACCATCACCACCACCATCACCATCATCATCACCACCATCACCACCACCACCATCACCACCACCACCATCACCACCACCATCACCACCATCATCATCACCACCACCATCACCATCATCATCACCACCATCACCACCACCACCATACCACCACCACCACCACCACCACCACCACCACCACCACCACCATCACCACCACCACTATCATCACCACCACCACCACCACCTCCACCACCACCACCACCTCCACCACCACCTCCACCACCACCTCCACCACCACCACCACCACCACCACCACCACCATCACCACCACCATCACCATCACCACCATCACCACCACCATCACCACCACCATCACCACCACCACCACCATACCACCACCATCACCATCACCACCACCACCACCACCACCACCACCACCACCATCACCATCACCATCACCACCATCACCACCACCACCACCACCATCACCACCATCACCACCACCACCACCATCACCACCACCATCATCACCACCACCACCACCATCACCACCACCATCACCATCATCATCACCACCATCACCACCACCACCATCACCACCACCACACAACCACCACCATCACCACCACACCACCACCATCACCACCATCACCATCACCACCACCACCACCATCACCATCATCATCACCACCATCACCACCACCACCATCACCACCATCACCACCACCACCACCACACCACCACCATCACCATCACCACCACCATCACCACCATCACCACCACCACCATCACCACCACCACCATCACC